AATAATATCTCTTAAATCAGCCAATGATATGTAATTTATCATGCTGTCATACACTATTGTCTTAAGGGATGGGAGCTGAAGCTCGACGAGAATCCAATGTTTACGTTCTAAAACAGGGATAAACACCTGCAATCATAAGTAATAATTCATTCATTTGCGCACTTATTTCATAAAACCTTAAACTCAATCTAAAATAATACTAACCTTATCGACCTCCCACCATGCAAGATAAAGTTTAGCTTGTCCATTGCCCAAATCAAATGATTCATCTCGTGCATTCTTCAAGTGAACGGCGTTAAAAGACGTCGGCATAATTGTATATCGCATATTTTTATTTTTCTTAAGTTTTCTTATTATTAGAAGACTGTCACCCACGCATCGATATGCTGTTTTACAAAAAAAGACATATTAGTGACTTACATAAATTTAAAAAAAAAATTAATCAAATTGAAATATAGAAAAATATAAGACTTACCCCCCCATCGAATAGTCATTGTCTTTGACCCCTAATAATACGCCCCACCAAGACCGATCAAGCAACAAATAGATATCATCGGTGAGCTTGCATATGTCAGTGAAACACCCCTGGCTCCGCTCATGTAGATAAAATCAACTGCGGTCTTAGCCCAAGGGTGTTATCCAGAATTGTGTCCGGTAGTTGTTTCCTCTCCTCTTCAGATACCGTATGGTACTGGCCGTAACTCATACGAGAGCCAACTTGAATCCATCATGTCCGGCACGTCAGAGGGTTTCTCAAGAAGCCTACATATGACGCCATGTGAATCGGGCTCTTGAATGGTGGGAGGGACCTCTTCAATGATGACAGTGACCTCTTGAACGGTGGGAGGGACTCTCGAGGAATGATAGGGGGGCCTCTTCAACGATAGGAGTGGACTCTTAAGGATGACAGGCGAGTCGGGCTTCTTCTTGCGGTGTCTTCGCACTATTGGGGTGTACGGAGACTTAATAGCACGTGCACGCTGTCTGATGCGTGAACTCCGTCGTGCAAGCATAACCCGACGTAAAGCATCCACTCTATCGGGCCGCTAAATAATTAAATACAAAAATCAGTAATAAACAGACATGATATTTAAACAGTGAAAACAAAGACAATATGTTTCAAACTTGCATTGTATTCACCCAAGTCATTATTCTATCATAGTTCACAAAATGCATCAGATAACAAAGAAAATATGTTTCAAACTAATACCCTGAAGTTAGTATTTGTCTTTGTTTTGTCTATTGGTTGAAGTAATGCAATCCATTCAAGTTTCAATTTGCAGAAGAAGAAATAGTTTACTTTCGCAACACGAACTTAAAATCGCAACGCGAAATGAGAATCGCAACGAGAAACCAAATCGCAACGCGAAAGCAAAATCGCAACGCGAAATGAAATCGCAACGACAGAATCGCAATGCGAAATGAAAATCGCAACGAGAGAATCGCAACGCGAAATGAAAATCGCAATGCGATTTTGGTTTCGCGTTGCGATTTTGTCGTTGCGATTTTGGTTTCGCGTTGCGATTCTGTCGTTGCGATTTTCATTTCGCGTTGCGATTCTCTCGTTGCGATTTTAAGTTTCGTGTTGCGAAAGTAAACTATTTCTTCTTCTGCAAATTGAAACTTGAATGGATTGCATTACTTCAACCAATAGACAAAACAAGACAAATACTGACTTCAGGGTATTAGTTTAGCAGAATTGGCAGCAACCGAACAAATTTACTTTCAACCAAAAGACAAACAAGACAAATACTATTTCACAGTGTTAAAGAATACACAGTTTAGCAGAATTGGCAGCAACCGAACAATTTACTTTCAACCAAAAGACAAAACAAAGACAAATACTATTTCACAGTGTTAAAGAATACACAGTTTAGTAGAATTGGCAGCAACCGAACAAATTTACTTTCAAACCAAAAGACAAAACAAAGACAAATACTATTTCACAGTGTTAAAGAATACACAGTTTAGCAGAATTGGCAGCAACCGAATAAATTTACTAAGCAATCTAAGTGAAATGGCTAATCTAAGTGAAATTACGAGTAAATTTATCATTAAGTTAAATATGGAAAATCTTAAACTTACCTCGTTGCGTAGAGTATGAACCTCATTCTGCAACGATACTATCATCTCACGTAGAGCGGCAACCTCACCACGTAAAGTTGACACCTCCACACGCCATGCACCATCGTTATCGCGTAGAGTACCGATCTCCTCACGCAAGGCATTGACCTCATCACGTAACTCATCCCGTGGAGGTGGAGAACAAGGAGATAAATGTCGTGGCCTCTTTACCGGTCGCCTATCATGAGTGATGGTGGAGAAGAGGCTCGATGATGTGACGGGATAGGTGATGGCTCTCGTTCTAGAGGTGTATAGTCGGGTCGATCGGTGATGGCTCTGGGTGAGGTGATGGCTCTCGAATTGGAGGAAGTGGATGCTGCTCATCATCCGTTCCATCAAAAAACTCTGACTAGCTTGCCACCAATCAGTGGCAAGCTCTTCCTCCGTGGGTGTCAGTCTTTGTAATGGAATGTTGGCCTCCTAACAATATAAAACTCAAACAAAGTTAAACGTCTACTATTAATAACTTGTTTATATATTATATGAAAGTATTTGTGTTAACTTACATTATTTATTGTCGCATATGATATTAAGTTTCCCAATCCAACAGATTTTTCCTCTTCCAGGAAATAGCCCTGGGAATATCATTTGACGTTTTTATTGCATATGTACGCATGCTGGGGAAAGCCTCGAATATCCAAATCTACAAACAATATAATACAAAATTAGTAATTGTTAAATAATTAATTATAATTTTAGAAACATTATATAGAAATTCTTACCTTAAAGGCCCAAACAAAGCCTGACAAGTGTATTTCGACCCATCGCCACGCAAACTTTTGCGGTCATCAAAGGCAGTAGACAACTTAGTCCAGGTACTTTTCATATATACAAACCCCACGGAAACAGATTCCATGCATTCAGGTCCTCTACCAATATTATTAGCTCCCGAGGAATAGGTTGTCTGGCCTCTCTGCCTAAAAAGCCGGCATACACAAGTAGTAGAAGGCATACTCGGACAACATCGACGTCATCCATCCGAGTGAAACCAGCTTTCTTATTAAACAATTTCTTCAGGTCGTCGACGTGTAGGTTCGGCTTCTCCATTGACTCATCCGGAAAAACCCGGATAACCATGATGGGCGGGCGATATGACGAGTGTACCGGCCTACATCATCGTGTCCGAATCGTAGACCAGTGATTAAGCAGAACTCCTTCCGCCCAAACAAGTATACGCTGGTGGAAAATGAAACCATATCTCTTCCTCACCACGTTGTATACTGTCGGTAGATTTGATGTCATGGTCTGAAGCCACAAATGGGTCAAATTAGCATCTCCACCCGGATGCTGTACTCTCAGCCATGGCCCGAAGCAGGTTTCCTCAAACAATTGTCTTTGTGCAGGTGAAAGCTTCGAAGCAATTGTAGTGGCTAGGCTAACTTTATTCCTTAATGTCAATGAAGCCGAAAAAAATTTCTACAAAAACAATAAACATACCAAGTTAGATATACCAAAAACTACAATGTGAAGATATACCAAAAACAATAAACATAAAAAGTAGTAGTTTATTCTTGAAACTAAAATTTGCAACACTGTTTTGTCTTTTGGTTGAAATGAAAATCGCAACGAGAGAATGACTGTCGCAACGAGAGAAATGAAAATCGCAACGAGAGATCGCAATGCGAAATGAAAATCGCAACGCGAAATGAAAATCGCAATGCGATTTTGGTTTCGCGTTGCGATTCTCTCGTTGCGATTTTCATTTTTCTCGTTGCAGATAGTCATTTTCACGTTGCGATTTTCATTTATCTCGTTGCAACTCTTCTGCAAATTGAAACTTGAATGGATTGCATTACTTCAACCAAAAGACAGAACAAAGACAAAGACAAATACTAACTTGAAAATCGCAACGAGAGAATAGCAACGCGAAATGAAAATCGCAACGAGAGAATCGTAACGCGAAATGAAATCTAAGTGAAATGGTTAATCTATTATTGAAATGACCAGTAAACTTATCATCAGTTTCAATATGAAAAACCTACAATAATGCAAAAATTTCAAAATAAAAATAATTAAAAAAACTAACCCTCGGAGGTTGATTTTCCATTTCTGAATATTGTGAGGGATTTCTGACCGTGAATGGTTGTGAGGGATTTCGCCGGAGATGGGGACGGAAATCTTCGGAGATGGGGACGGATTTCGCCGTAGAGAGTGAGAGATGGAGATGGGACTGAGTTGTGATTTTAGGTTTTAGGTTATGAGTTGCGATTACGGGATTTTGTCTTAATATTCGTTTTTGTAATTTGAAAATAAAATACGCGTAGCGATTATAATGGCGCTTTAAAAATCGCGTTGCGATTTACGGATACGCGTTGCGATTTTACGTATTGTCGTTGCGATTTACGGATACGCGTTGCGATATACGGATACGCATTGCGATTTATGGATACGCGTTGCGATTTACGGATACACGTTGCGATTTACGGATACGCGTTGCGATTTATGTGTTCGCGTTGCGATTTTCATATTCGCGTTGCGATTCTGGAAAATCGCAATGCGAATTTGTACTATCGCATTGCGATTGTCAAGAATCGCGTTGCGATTTTGGAAACTGATTTGCGATTCTGGGGATCGCGTTGCGATTTTTATTTCGCGTTGCGATTTTGTTGGTCATTTTGGCAAATCCAAAAAAAGTTGGTTAAAATCGTATATTATAAGGCATTTTTGATCACTGAGGCGATTTTCTCTTTTAAAATTTTAGGAGATGTATAGAGGGGATTTCGAGGGACACTAGCAATGCAAAGGCCAACGGGTTACGGGATCTACCATAAGTGCTCATTTTGTAATAAAATAAAACGTTTAGTGCTTAATTTATAAATTTTAAAGTTTAGTAGCAAAAAAATTGATTTTATCATAGTTTAATTACATTTGTGAACTTTACCCTTAAATTAAACGCCCACAATAATTCTTAGGGTTCCGATTTCGAAATACTGGAAGGGGGAGATTCTGCAGCGAAAAACAATTAACTCCAATGGTGTGCGAGAAGTGTAAGTTTTATAGCTCTGCAGTTGTAACTAATTTCCATATCAATTTGGTGTGATCCCTGAAAAATTTAAAGAAAAAGAACCTGATGTGTTAGATCAATTTAATTTCTAGGCCAGAAGAAGCTATCGAAGGTGATCGTGCCAGATAAGTGGAAGGAAGGTGCCAGCAACACCTACGAAAGCGGTGGCCGGAAAATCAACGAGAATAAACTCCTATCCAAAAAGCACAGGTCTGTTTGTTTTTTCTCCATCTCCTATTTCAGTCTCACAGAATTTTTATTTACTAGTTTACAAAACATGACCAAATTTTAAATTTCGTTAAAATTGGGTAGAATTCTTAGCTATACTTGTTGATAAGTTTATTTATTTAGGGAATTACTTGATTATTGCTGTAAATTATCATTGATTCTTCCAAGCATAAGTTTTCTAGGGTTCTCTTTAATTACTGAAGGTATTGGTCAAGAACATAGCTTAGTGTTTAGGATTTTAGTTGCTATTGGATATGAAGTATATGACCTTCAAGAACCCACCGAATTGGTTTGGATCCAGTTCATTACTTTTTCATCCACTAATATCCATAGATTGATCGTCACCATTCAATGTATAAGACCCTTATATTAATGGTGATTAAATGAACTTGTGACTGGTGATTAAATATTGTATTGGATATTAATGGATGAAAAAGTAATGGAGGGCTCCAAATACATGGCAAAAATGCATTTTTTTCAGATTTCATGATTTGGATTTGGAATCCATTGCCTGCAGATGGACCCCTTATGGAAATACCAAGTGTATCATATGTAAGCAGCAAGTGCATCAAGATGGCAAGTACTGTCATACTTGTGCTTATTCGAAAGGTCTGGTAAATCAATAACTTGATGCTCTACAACTTGGTCATTTGGTTCTTTTCTGTTGTTTTGTGTCCATGTGGCGTCTGATGGTCATTGTGTGCTGTGCAGGCGTATGTGCGATGTGTGGGAAGCAAGTGCTTGACACCAAGCTTTACAAGCAAAGCAACGTATAAATCGAAGGGAATATAAGCTGGTCTTCAAGTAGATTTCATAACTACCATAAGATCATGAAAAATGTTAATGTTTACTCTGCATATTTTGTAGTTTTCTCTATGATCATTTGTGTTCCTGGCCTTGTGTAATTTCACTAGAATATGCAACTAATAATGTCTATAGGTGGACTAACAAGTACGTAGTAATTGCCTTTAAAGTTAGTCTTCATTGCAATCAAGCTAAACTTTTAGCTGGATTATCTATGATTCTGTTTGACGGCATGATTGCACAAGTTGGTACATTGTGCCTTCATTAAATTGTTACTTTTGGCCCCTTAAGCCTTTTGGTTGAATTAATGATGTCTTGCTTGAAGCATCTAGTTTTATATGCACTTCCTTAAACCCGGGTTCCCATTGGAATCACAGTAAACCCTTAGGGGTGTAAATGAACAGGCTTGAACGAATAAGATTGTGTTCGTGTTTATTTGTTTATTTTTTAAGGTGTTCATATTTGGTTCATATTCGTTTAAAATTTTAATATCGTGTGTATATTCGTTTGTTTATTTTTGAAGATATTCGTATTTGGTTCGTTTAGCATTTGCAAATATGTTTTGTTTAATGTTTGTGAATATGTTCATTTATATTTTCTCTAGTATATTCATTTATTGTTTGCAAACATATTCGCTTGTATGGTTTGAGTCCCCTCATCAACCAACAATATTTGCAAGCCAAAGAAAAATGTTAAAATTATGACATTTGTACTTAAGCTATGTAAACTTCATAAATTGAACTCTAAAGTTCATCATGTATTCAATTTAGTCACTAGCTTCAAAAATATTTAAAATGTAAAAGAAAAGAATAACCAACAAATGAACATGAATATAAACGCGTTCAATTCGTTTATTAAATGAACATAAAAAATTATTCATATTCGTCTACTTAATTTAATAATCAATACAAATGAATTATTCATGAACAACTCATTGAGCGTTTTATTCATTTACACTTGTAAAACTTTGTTGAGTTTTTTTTTTATAAAAAAAATCAAAGTTATGATATTTGTCTTTGTTCTGCTTAATTTATTCAGGCAAGCCTTTGTTTAACTTGATCCAACTTTTTTGTCATTGATTTTTGTTGTTGCAAAATCAAAGCATGGGAGTGAAAAGTCACATCAGATCAACCGGTTGAACCGTTGACCTATCAAATTCTGTAGTTATATAAATCAACCTTTTAGTCTAAATTTGCATGAAATTAATGTTTGAACATTAGAAAAAGAAGCTATCAAATTGTCTAATCCAACCTATTGGATCGGAGTCGAATATTCAATCAGTTTGTGATACGAGTTTCGACTCAATTTATGAATCCAACCGGTTCGAATCGTTAGTGTTAACAAGACAAATATCATTTGGTTTAACTATGGAGTTTCGATCCATGGGAACATGGGAACACAAGTAGTAAACACTTAAAGAAGAGAGAAGTGAAGCCTCAAAACATATCACACAAATCACTTCGCTTTAAGACTTAACGAAGAACATGCAAATCTCAATCCCCTAACCACGTTGAATCCATTACCGTCTTGTTCACTCGCTCATCGTTGGAATAACGCATAATTCACCCTTTTTCCTCTTCATTCGCTTGTGGAATACCTGGTATTCCAGTACTCTTCAATTTCCTCAGCTGTTCTACCAGGGATTCTTCCAGCAATTAAAGCCCACCTGCCAATGGAAAATCATTCAAAATTTCAATCCTTCTTCTTCCTTGGCTGAGAAGAAGAGTTAGGAGAGCTACCTCTGTCCAACCAGGTTATACATCCTAAGTATAAGTGATTCCTCATCTTCAGAGAATTTAAGCTTTGGTTCTTCACTTGTTTCCTCCCCTGAACAGATGATGAAATGTAGTTACAACAGATTTAAACAGACAAGAAGGGTAAATGAAAGTAAAGAGTTTACCTGGAGATTGTACATCAGTTTTACCAGAAGAGGAATGCTGAAAGTCAGCCATATGCAGGGAGCAAGAGATTATTTAGACCTGAAGTAAACATAGACAATGTGGAGGGAGTGGTTAAATAATGTATGAAAAACAGTGTTTCAGGACGAAACATAAATAAATCGTACGAACGTTAGTTGAATGACAGGCTCATGTGGTCTATCTAGGTTGATGGGTAGTTGGAAGTGTGAGGCATTTATGGGGAGAGATTCTATGGCTTTTGTTTAATCGCATGCAGCTGTCCAGGGGTGATTTTATCTAATCATCTTGGACCAATCGCACCTTGTCCTTCTCGATTTTTATAATCACCCAAAACATTAGGTTTAAGTTGTTGTCATTTCACGAATAAATAAATTGAAAAAAAAAGGTTTTAGATGTCAATGATAAATAGGCAAAATGTTAAATTAAAATGATATAATTATAAATATAACTTAAATTTTAGTTCGGTATACTTTTATTAAATCCTCATATATATTTTATCAACATAATAAAATTTTATTCTTTTGATGAGTTCTTATTTAATTTTTCTACATAAATTTATATTTTTTATCGTCACATTCCTCTAGTAGGATTATCCTAATGTATATATGTAGTGACAGATTTAGAATTTTTTTTTAATATGGACACATATATATTAATAATATAAATTTAGGATGAATACCATAGAATTTCAGAATGATATCACATATATAAATAAAAAAATTTAAATTTTTTTAAAAAAAAATTGAATTCCAAAGAATTTAGAATATTTTATGTTATCGTTGAGTAGCTGGTAAAGACCTCTCCATGTGAGTCTATAGTCTATACGCACACTAAAAAATTTATTAGCCGACCTATTAAGGCTTCTGTTCTCTGATTTTTAGCATATTTTCATGTGTATAGATCTAAGAAATAGAGTTATAAATTAGTCCACTTGCTTATTTTAACGTCTAAAATCATATTTTAATGATCTTCTAAAAAGAAATCTTTGCCATTTTGATTTTATAGCTTCTTACTTTCTCTTTTTTCTTCTCTAATCTACTTTTACTATTTTCTTCGATTTTGAATTTTTCTATTTTCAACCAAAAACTTTGGAGTTGACTTCTCAAGTCAGCAGCACCATTCGAAAGAAATCATAATGTGTGTGCTAATATGAGAAACAATCAACCCAAACCTTATAATCAAAGTTCTAAGTAAAACCCTGACATGAAAATTACCTCATTGCCTCTAGCACGATCATCGAATTCCTTGTCTTTGTTCCTAGGTAAAATTGAAGTACAAATCGGTGCTCTCAATCCACGATTACAATGAACAACCTTTCTTCCACTTGGGTAAACATTATTCAAAGAAGAAGTCAAAGGTGAAGATTTGAAAGAAGAAATAATATTTGAAAAAAGGAAGCAATGTTTTATGGATATGGTTTATTAAGAGAAAACAAATCAGTTGATTGGAGGAGGAGCAAAGAAGTTGAAATGAAAAGAGTTAACGAACTCACGTCCTTCCAATGAAACTATGAATGCTACTTGTATGTGTTTCCCCATCTTCAAAGACTTTAAGCTTTGATTCTTCAATTGTATCTTCCTCACAACAACAAAGTGCTGCACTAAAACATGCTTGCTTAGGTTTAGAGCACCCATAACTCAAAAGTTGAGGATCTCTAATAGAAATCCAAACCCTATCAGATGTATAGACCTAGGTTAAAAAAATGGCTGTCCCTTTTTCCCATATATATAGGGTAAGGAGAGGTAAGATAGTAGGCTACCCCCAACACCAGGTTGAGAGCAGCTTCCGTAAGAAATCTCCAAATTATGAAATGCCCTCCGTGGGACTCGATCCCACGACCTCAAAGTTAAGAACCTTGTGCTCTACCAACTGAGCTGGATGGTCATTTCTATAGACCTAGGTTAAAAGTTGTGGTAAATTATCTTAAACGGTAAAACATAAGTTAAACTAGATTAAAACTAGTTCAATGACTTGATTAACATTTTTTATTCAATATTTAGAATCAACTCCACAATTTAATGGTCTCAAGGTAATTTATCCCAAATTCCAAGCTCCAAGCACATTGTATGTTTGGAATTTAGGATTATGTATATTCATCACAGATTACAGAACAGAATCCATGCAATTCATTCAAATGAAACTATAACCATTTCCATGGGGGGAACTTAGAATCTTACTCTGAAGACGCAACACAAGGTGAAGAGTGGATTCTTTCTGAATATGTAATCACCCAATGTTTTTCCATCTTCCAACTGCATCCCACCACAACTCAGAACTTGTTGATACCATGGAATCCCTTCTTTGTCCTGAATCTTCTCCTTCACATTACCGATAGTATCCCAACTCTCTGTTGTGAAATTTGGGTTAATTTCCACCAATAACAATTCACCTTGAAAACTATTATCTAGGTGACTAGTGTGAAAACGATTGTACTAAAAATCACCCCAAGGTAGATTCCCAGGAAAGAGGAGGGGTCACAATGGTCCCTCTTAAAACCCACTTTCCTTAGACAGAACTACCAAGACAAGTAATTTTAATAGGACAATAATTAACAACAACTATACCCGACAATAGCTATTAAATAGACATAAAAGAGAATACCAAAATATTTCACTAATAGAGGAAATATTATAAAGAGAGAAAGAATACAAATAGCCTTTAAAATAGAAGAATGCTTATATTTGTGAGATGATTAACTAAGGAGGATGAGGGCTTTATTTATAACAAAAGAATTTCCCCTCCTCCTTATACACAACCAATGTGGGACTTTTGCCAAAAAACCAACAAATCTCCACCTTGGCAAATTCCACACACATCTATAAAAAAACAATCTTTTAATTTGTAACAATATTGACCAAGTCTAAACAATATTTAAACTTGACCGCAGTTACCACTTTTGTCAACATATCAGCAGGATTCTCAGTGGTCCGAATCTTCTGGATTATGACTCCACCTTCTTCTAGAATCTCTCGTACAAAGAGATATCGAACATCGATGTGCTTCGTCCTTGCATGGTAAACCTGGTTCTTTGCTAAATGAATAGCACTCTGACTGTCACAGTGCACTTTGATGTGTTTTTGTTCCATTCCCAATTCACCAAGCAACCCTTGAAGCCAAATTGCCTCCTTCACAGCCTCTGTAACTGCCATATACTCTGCCTCTGTAGTAGACAAAGCCACTGTTGACTGTAAGGTGGACTTTCAACTGACTGGTGCCTTTGCAAATGTAAACACATAACCAGTAGTTGATCGACGCTTGTCCAAATCACCTGCATAGTCTGAATCACAATACCCAACTACACACTGACCATCTTGTTTGTCCTGCTGAAAGACCAAACCAACATCTACGGTGTTCAAAATATACCGCAGAATCCATTTCACAGCTTGCCAATGCTCCTTTCCAGGATCATGCATATACCTGCTCACAACCCCAATTGCCTATGAAATATCGGGTCTCGTACACACCATTGCATACATCAAGCTACCAACAGCACTTGCATACGGAACCTTTGACATGTATTCTCGTTTTGCATCATCCTTAGGTGACATGGATGCACCGAGCTTGAAATGAGGAGCAAGAGGTGTACTAACTGGTTTTAACATCTCATTTATGCCAAAACGTTTTAGTACCTTCCTCAGATATTCTTTCTGAGACAAACAAAGCCTCCTCAATTTCTTATCCCTTGATATCTCCATGCCTAGAATCTTCTTCGCTTCACCAAGATCCTTCATCTCAAACTCCCTGTTCAATTGAGTCTTTAGTTTCGTAATTTCTGTCTGACTCCTGGAAGCTATCAGCATATCATCAACATAAAGAAGAAGATATATATAGGATCTGTCTTCTAGCTCACGTAAATACACACAATGATCATATTTGCTTCTTGTGTACTTCTGCCCTATCATAAACTTGTCAAATCGCTTGTACCACTGCCTTGGAGATTGCTTCAATCCGTACAGCGATTTTTCTAATTTGCACACCATCTCTTCTTTTTCAGCAACTTTGAATCCATCTGGCTGAGTCATGTAGATTTCCTCATCCAAGTCTCCATGTAAAAATGCAGTTTTTACATCCATCTGAACTAGTTCCAAATCCAACTGCGCTACCAAAGCCAACAAAATTCTGATGGAGGAATGTTTTACAACTGGAGAAAATACTTCATTATAATCAACTCCCTCCGTTTGAGCGTAGCCTTTAGCCACCAATCTTGCTTTGTAGCGGATGTTATTTTTGTCAGGAAATCCATCTTTCTTTGCATATACCCACTTGCACCCAATTGCCTTCTTTCCCTTCGGAAGACTAGCTAGTTTCCACGTCTGATTCTTTTGAAGGGATTGCATTTCTTCATTCATGGCGATCCTCCACTTTTTTATGTTCTGAACTTTGAACTGCTTCATTAAAAGTGGCAGTAACGTCATCAATTGCAATTGGTGATGCAAAAGAGACCATATCAGCATAACGAGCAGGTTGTCTAATGGTCCTCTTTCCCTTTCTGAGTGCAATTGATTCATGTTACTGTGGAGGTTCTTAGGTCTGAACCTCTTCTTCATCTGACTCTTCTTCTACCATAGGAGAGTCAACATCAGTTTCTTTACCGGTTGGGACAAATTTGCTTCCTTCAAACTCCACCTGTTTGGGAGTTCCATCTGTCTGCTCCAATTTTTCTGAAGTCACCTTTCTCAACATGGTAGATTCATCAAATGTAACATCCCTGCTGAAGATTATTTTCTTTGTTTCTGGACACCAAAGACGATAGCCTTTCACACCAGAGGTGATCCCCATAAAGATCGCCTTCTTTACTCTTGGATCCAGCTTTGACTCCTTAACATGGTAGTATGCAGTGGAACCAAACACATGTAAGGAATCATAATATGTAGCAGGTACCCCAAACCATTTCTCTAATGGTGTTTTACCACCAATAGCAGTCGATGGTAAGCGGTTGACAAGGTGACAAGCATAGACCAAAGCCTCAGCCCAAAATTCTTTGCCTAACCCAGCATTAGACAACATACACCGAACCTTCTCCACTAATGTCCGGTTCATACGCTCTGCCACCCCATTATGTTGTGGTGTACCTCTGACAGTGAAGTGCCTAACAATACCTTCCTCTTCACAGACTTTCAGAAATGGATCATTTTTGTACTCTCCACCATTGTCTGTACGGAGACGTTTGATTTTTCTGCCTGTTTGAGTCTCCATCATCTTTTTCCATTTAAGGAAAAATCCTAGCACCTCATCCTTTGTCTTCATTGGATACACCCAAACTCTCCGGGAAAAATCATCAACAAAGGTGACATAATAATGTGTTCCTCCCAATGAAGTTGTCTTGGAAGGCCCCCATACATCTGAATGAACATAATCCAAAATACCTTTAGTATCATAGATTGTTGTTCCAAATTTCACCCTCGTCTTTTCCCTTTGATGCAATGCTCACAAAAAGCTAATTTGCAAGCCCGAACACCCTTCAATAATCCTTGATCTATCAGTAATTTCAAGGATTTTTCACCAACATGCCCCAAGCGCATATGCCATAACCTGGTTGCTTCTGACTCATGTTCATCAGTAGAAGCTGCCACTGTTGCTGTCCCAACAATTGTACTACCCAGAAAGTAATTCACATTGTTTCTTTTTCGGATTCCCTTCATTATCACCAGTGCACCAGAGATAATCCTCATAATCCCATCTTTTTCCCTCACTTCTAAACCTTTTGACTCTAAGGTTCCCACAGAGATGAGATTTCTCATTAAATCTGGTACATAATGGACACCTATTAAGGTTCTGATTGATTCATCCTGATTCCTCAAGCGAATTGAACCAATCCCAAGTGTGTCAAGAGGGGAATTATTTGCTGTGTAGACAATTCCACCTTTTAGTTCTTTAAAATCAAAGAACCATTCTCTATTGGGGGTCATATGGTGGCTACAAGCTGAATCTAACAGCCATGAACTGGAACAGCTGGTTGATGGCGTAGCAGCGAATGCGAAATCTGAATCTCCATCATCATACTCGACCACATTTGATTCTGAGACAGCCTTCCCCCTTTCAGGTTTGCCTTTATTCTTTAGCCTGGGACATTCTTTCTTCCAGTGCCCTTTTTCTCGACAAAAGGCACATTCATCTTTGCTCAATCTGGACTTTGACTTCGATCTCCCTCTGCTTCCTTTATTCTGACTCTTGGAACGGCCTCTAACAACAAGAGCTTCTGCTTCGACACTTGTGTTTTCTTGATTGTCTTTCTTTCTAAATTCATAACTATACAAGGCATCAGTTACTTCACTGAGAGACACATCAACCTTCCCATAAAGTAGAGTAGTTTCAAGATACTCAAACTCATCAGGAAGTGATCCCATCAACATCAGAGCCAGATCTTCATCTTCAAAAGTCACGTCCATATTCATCAGATCAATCACCAGCTGATTAAAGCTAGTAATGTGATCATTCATAGTGGTACCTGGTACATAGTTGAAGCGGAACAATCTCTTTTTCATGTAGAGTTTGTTCTGACCGCTTTTCTTCAAAAATTTCTCCTCCAGTGCCTTCCATAATTTACTTGTAGAAGTTTCCTTAGAAAATGCATACTTCTGCTCTCTAGAAAGACACGATCGAATAGTACCACATGCCATTCTATTGATCCTCTTCCATTCTTTCTCCTCAACATCATCTGGTTTCTCTCATTCAATAGCAATGTCTAGACCCTGCTGAAATAGGGCATCTAGAACCTCGCTTTGCCACATGCCGAAATGACTGGTGCCATCAAAAATCTCCACTGCAAATCTAACATTTGTCACATCATTTCTTGCCAAAATTGAAGATGAAGAAGCGTCTGTCATTTCTGCTACAAATTCTATTTAATAGCTGCCAATGCGGAATGTCAATTATCCCAAGGAAATTTTTCTAATGTGGAAGATCAGCCTAAGCCGCAACCACAGAGCATACTAAAATAAACCAAGAGCGCTGATACCAATTGTTGTGAAATTTGGGTTAATTTCCACCAATAACAATTCACCTTGAAAACTATTATCTAGATGACTAGTGTGAAAACGATTGTACTAAAAATCACCCCAAGGTAGATTCCCAGGAAAGAGGAGGGGTCACAATGGTCCCTCTTAAAACCCACTTTCGTTAGACAGAACTACCAAGACAAGTAATTTTAATAGGACAATAATTAACAATAACTATACCCGACAATAACTATTAAATAGACATAAAAGGGAACACCAAAATATTTCACTAATAGAGGAAATATTACAAAGAGAGAAAGAATACAAATAGCCTTTAAAATAGAAGAAGGCTTATATTTGTGGGATGATTAACTAAGGAGGAGGAGGGCTTTATTTATAACAAAAGAATTTCCCCTCCTCCTTATACACAACCAATGTGGGACTTTTGCCAAAAAACTAACACTCTCCACCTCCAATTTGATCATGTTCCCCGTTAATGTCTTGAAAAAAATGGGCATCCGACGAGGAAACATGAAATCTGAACCAAGTATGGACTCCTGCTGGATGTTATAATCGGCCAAAGTTCGACAACCATCATCGAATTGCTTGCCGGCGAAAATAAGGCTTTGCATATCTTGGATCTTCACCTTGACGTTGTTGATGGTGTCGGAGCTTTCGACATCCAAGGCTATGGTTTTACCAGTGGAAAGTGTTTCAAGAAGATCTTCATAAACAGAGGACGATCGAGTTGGAGAGTTGACTCTTTTTGGATGTTGTAATCGGCCATGTTCGAGGTAGAGGGATTAATTTATAGGATAGTGGGGAACAAATTGAGGTGACTTGGTAAGAAAGGTGGCTATTTTCTCAAAAAGAAGTCTCCTTTAAATTACCTTACATTTATAAAATGAAGAATGAGAGTGATGTAAAGTGATGAAGATCAACCCTCTGGTTGCAATGAAACTAATGAAGAGTCCATCCAGGTTCGTGGAACTAGTCTAGTGATGATGGTGATGTTCCGGTCTCTCATCCTCCCCATTCGGATGCTTCCGGTTGGTTTCCTTATTCAATAATCTACTCCTCAATCGTAAACCTATCTTCTCTCTGCCTCACAAGTCGAAATGCCCTGGAAAGTTTGTGCGGTCAATGAGCCATGGGTAGCTTTTCTTTTGCAAGGGCCGAATATATATCAATGCATATATTTATTTATAATATTGATTTATTCTAATTTAAAGGACTTCTTCCAAATATATATCAATGCGTGTGTGTGTATGTATATATATATATATATCATTTTTGCAAATATCAGTAAGATTTGTAACTTTTATAATGTTATAATTTTCATGACCATTTTTTTAAAAACAATTAAGTTTAAAAAATAATTATGACTTTATTTGAAAAATTGGTGATTTTGAATTAATTTGAATTAAATTGAATAGGAGTCGCCATCGACCTTTAAATTAGGTAGACCGAATACCTAAAAACGTCCTTTAAAATATTTTTAAGAAAAAATCATTTTTAAGACAAAAATTGGTTTGCATTTACCAAAAATTTGACTTAACGGGTCCGGGAGTCGATTACGCATGGGGAATGATAATCACCCTCACAACTCCCAAAAATTGATACTTAATCGATTACACATTGTCGTAAATGATGGAAATTGTGAATCAAATATATAGTTAGAATGTGATCCATTTATTAAAGTTTAATTAATTTGCTTCGAATTGTTTATTAGGGAAAATCCTTTAATTCGAAAAGAAATATTAAGATTTGCTCATCCTTGGACTGGAAGGTTATCTCTTCCATTTCTTGCCTAAAAAGAATATTTCCTTCTCGATTTAAAAAACGAAAATAAAATATAAATTGAATATCTGCATTTTACATAACATAAATTATTATATATAAAAAATATGCATTGCGTCATTTTAATAAAAAATGAATTGATTATCATTTTTTATAAAAATAAATTCAAATTCTTTCAAGTTCACATTTCGTTCGATTGTCGTATCGGATCGGACTACTTCGACTAAGTTATGCTTTCCACGCACATTCTACAAATAAGTATTCTTGAAAATATTAGAATAACATATCAATAGATAAAGAAATACGATGAAAACAAATGCAATTTGAAATATGTGGAATAAAATGTCTACAACACATAGAGCTAATAATATTTATTTAATATAATACATATAAATATATAATATACAAAAGATGTACAGACAAAGGACTAGAATACAAACAAGAAAACATTACTTATCAAAATACAAATAACAAAAACAATCATATTTGGTGATTTAAGGGATCAAAATGGTACTAATAGAAACTTAAAGGAATGAAAAATAATTATAAACAAACCAGAGCCACAATCGAACATTTAGAACACTATAGATACCATAAACGAAAATAATCCATAAATAATGTTAAGGACTAAAATAAAATAAACCAGAAACATGGAAGGGAAAATAATAATTATACCTAAATGCATTCAATATACAAAACAATGACTGAAATTAAACATTTACAAATATCATGACCAGAGTTAAACATTAATAAAATGACATACATATAAGACGATGACTAAAATACAAATATAGAAATATAAGTGCTCAAAACAAAATAACACAATACTTCATTCAATGGCCCAAATGGTGAGATTACAAAGAATGGGAACCAAACACGTTATTTTCCCCTAAACTTATGAAAACACGGGAATGGGTGAAACTACTTCTTTTCAATCAGTGTATATAAGTCGAATTTAGGGCTTCCCGCATAATCTCTTCATTTGTTTCCTTTCACTTTGGAAGAGGAAAGAGAAGTTTACAAACTCTCTCAACTTCCTCGTTAGGAAAAGGAAACTACCGCTGACCGACGGTAAATCACGGCCGCCCACGACGGTCGAAGGGAATAAAACCCTCCGAAATACCCATCTCGTTCTCAATACCATAGATCCTAACCCCCTTTTGCCTAAAAAATAACATAAAATCCTAGATCTAAGCTTTTACCTTTCAAAAACTTAAAGTTCGACAACCTTTTCTTCCGATGAATATTGTGCCAGGTAAGTTCTCTTCTCTCTTTTGTTTCTGTTTTTTTTTATTCAAAACTCTCTTTTTCTTCTATTTTTTTTCTCTTCTTTTTTTCTTGAATGTTCGAAGTTTTTTTCCTTCGTTTCAGTCTCCCCGAATCTAGTTTTCCTCCTCCTTTTTATCTACTCCCCTCGTTGATTTTTTGTGATGGCTTGTTGTTTTTCGAGAGAATAGGGTATGAATGCCCTATCTTTGCTTGCGACAGAGCCCCCAATTTCCTCGGGATTTCATTTATTTTTTATTGTTTCTATTATTTTGATTTGGCCTCTCTTTTTGACTGTTGATGGATTATTTATGTTGATTTTCGGTCAGTGTAGAATGATGGAGGTGTCAGAAGCGGGCAGCGGCGTCAGCAACAACAAGCAGTGGCGGCAACAATAGCTCCTTAGGGTTAGGGTTTTAGAAACCCTAAATGTCATCGATATGAACTGTTGATAGTCATCAAATCCAATGGTGGAGAGCTGGAGGCGGTTGGAACTTGAGATGAAAACCCTAATCAGGTTTTGGGTCTCATATTTGGGTCGGATCTTTGGGCCAAGTTGGTCTGTTGTAATTTGGATTAGAGTTCGGGCCTTTTAATTGAGTCTTGACCCAATTGTCATTTGGACGTGTAAAATGTAGTAATAATACTATTAATAAAATAATAATATTAATAGTAATAATAATTAAAACACGGAAAAAATGAGTGTCTACAATAATATTGTTTTTATAATGTTATGTTTTAAAGAATGGATCACTTGGACTTTGTTCAGTTTGCCGCTCCCAAGAAGAAATTCGTGACCTCTTTGCTCGGGACGCTGCTCCTGCTCATCCGAGATCGGTAGCTCAGGTTTAAACTGGTGTTTAGTTTCATTTTCAATTCAAAAAACAGAATTGATGGAAGAGAAAATTGTATATTATTAAAATTAGTATCACGACTTTTACTAAAATTGTCATTTTGGTCACTTTTTCTAGAGTATTTTGGCTCTAACGTCTTATTTTAGGATAAAATAGTCTCCAACGTCTTATTTTAGGATAAAAATAGTCTCTAACGTTTGATCTAATAGTCACTTTAGCCTTTATTATTTTTTCTAGAGCATTTTAGCCCTTAATGTTTTTGTTTTGGGTATAAAAGTCTCTATTTTAGAGTGTTAACTGTTTGTTAACTAATAATTTCTGTCAACGTACGTGCCTTCTTGCCTCAAAATGAAACATGAGACTAGGGGTGTAAACGAGCCGAGCCGAGTTCAAGTATTGCTAATCTCGGCTCGACTCGAAAACTTTGAAATGGAGCTCGACTCGATTTGAAAACTCGCGAGTTTAAAATTTTCAAGCTCGACTCGAACTCGAAATCATGAACTGAATTTCGTGAGCGGCTTGAAAAGGCTCTAAATGAAAAAAAAAATCTTAAATTTAACTCTATTGAAGTCTCAAACTCAAATTTGAACCTTAAATACATGAAAATCTTACTGTATTTTTTAAAAAATCAATAAATAAATGTTAATATTATTAATATTTTATTTTTTTTAAAAATAAAATCTTAATATATTATATTTTCGAGCTGCTCACGAGCTTTTCGAATCGAATATTAAGTAGCTCGTTTCGGCTCGTTAAGAACTCGAGTTGAGCTCGAGCTCGAGTCGAGTCCATTCGATCTGAGTATTTATCGAGCCTTGATCGAGTCGATCTCGAGTAGCTCAGGATCTGTCTCATCTCATTTACAGTCCTATATGAGACTGAAATACTAAAAACAAATATGAACTAAAATAATTATTTAGTCAAACGTTAGTAATATCTCTTGAGATTATGCCAAGAAAAAATATAAAAAAGTTATAGTCAAAATTCAAACTCAATTCAAAATTGAAATATGAACTAAAAATTTGAGTTAACTCAAACAATTTAAAGTTAAAAGTATAATTTTTTTTAGTTGAATCAAATTTTGCACCCGGTTTGTAAAGGAGACATTGGTAGTTTTTTAACCTTCAATTTACATGACATAAATTTAATCTGCAGAAGAACCCGAGCTTAGATATTTTTCTTGAAATCTATCCTTCACTGCCGTTATTCACTTTCTACCCAGAAGCAAATCTTTTTTCATAAGCTCACTTTATAATTTTGTCTTGCGGGACTGGTGCGGATATACCTTTCCCATTCTCATACTCATTTAATATTTTCATATCCATTATCTACTCATCAATCACCACGATAGTTAAAATTTTTAAATTCACACCCATAACAAAAGTCTTCAATTATAAAGTTGTTCATCCATTAAAAAGCCGACTTTTTGAACCCTCCATTTCATCCTTATGACAAACCATAAAACACAAAAAGCTCAACAATCATCGTCTTTCCATCTCTTACATACATGCATACATTCATATTAAAAAGGAAAGATTCCGCATCTTTATCACAGTGGATTTATGTACTTGTCATCATCTCCAAAGTTTGATTTTTTTATAACTCTCTACACATGAAGCTATCTTTAATGGAAGATTCATATAATCTTTCCCTTTTGTTTTCTTTCTTCAACCTTCCTCTTCATTCTCAACCACTCCCATCGGTTTTCCGGTCTGATCTCCCATGTGTATGTCATGTTGCAATGTTGCTCTTAGTTACCAGTAAGTTGGTGAGTATAGTCCCCGGCTATGTCCTAATCGAAAGCATCCCCATCTCCGTTCGTTTTGTAAATCGACAATGTGAAATATATCAGCAAAATCGTTCCTATGCTCGATCTGTCAAAAGAACCCGAAAAGGTTCTTCCTTTCAGTATCATCAAAGCCTTTGCAGATGGAATAGAAATATTCCTGTGATAGGGTTCGGAGACTTACAGTGTGGCAAAGAGAAACAGAAGCCTTTTGGGATCGAAAATCCATTGGGAAGCATGTCGTCGGGAATTGTTTCTCCTGAGATTAAATCTGCTCTCGGTTAGAGCGGTGATATTGCCAGTTGTAATGGTGATCTGATGACGAGCTTGCGGATTGTTGGCCATATCAGTTGACCCTACAGCGGCCGTCACCGGCTTTTCAGCAGTGCTAGACCCTACCAGAGAAGTTGCGGATCAATAATTCCAGGCCAAATCTTACAAAATAAACTATGCAAACAGGAAATTTGCCATAAAACATGAGAACATGCATCCAAGGGTAACAGGACATATTTTCTATGGGTAAAATCTCTCCGAGTTTGCTTTCAGTATACCTTTTAGACACATCTTCGAAGATGAGCATATTCGAGTATACCGATATCTGGCACATACTGGAGTCCGAATAACATAGCTAAATACTACTAAAGAACTGTTCTACATAATTCACGAGTTAAATTCAGTCCTTCAAGGAATTTAACTATAAAATGCTGAAAAGTGCATGGTCTAAACCACTAATCTGGGTAAAAATAGAGCCAAAATGTTCGCCTTTTTCAAATTTTCCTGGAAAATTTTCCTGGGAAAAATTAAAAAACCAGCATGTGATAAAATCTAAGCAATTAATGCTGAAAGTCTGTACCTCTCGGGGAGGTGGCAACAAAAGCATCTTTATCATTGAGAGACGATTTACAATTTGAATTTGTACAATTGAAGCTTATAATCTTCTTGTCCCCTCCTCTCTGAGACCCTTTACGAGAAAGACTTTTCTGCAAATTAGAAGGGAAAAAAAAAGAAATTTTCTGGACTTGCATGAAACAGTCTCATTGAGATGTAAACACGTGTCATTCAGAAATAATTGTTTTGAATTTTTCCCACAAAAAATAATGAAAAAAAGGGGGAAAACTCACTGTAAATCTTGAATTCTGAGTGATTTCTTTATTGGATCCTCCATGAGAGAAACCTTCCAAGTCGAGAACAAAGCTATCGGTTTTATTATCCGTTGTGTATTGAAAGCCATTATTATGATCCGAAACTGATATATTTTGTATGGATATCTCGTTGGAAGATGACGAGTCCTATCACCAAATCAAGAACCCCAAATTTAAATTAAGATACTTGATATTGGTGATGAAAATCAATTAAACAGTAACAAGGAAAAGGAGATGAAAAAAAATGAAATATTTGAAGAAAACCCAGAGAGATTATACTCACCAGCTTTGGATTTTCCGTCAGATTCAACATTTTCTCGGAAAATGAAGCAAAGATAAAAAGAAAGAGAAGAAGACGATGAAAGAAGGGTGGAATTAGGACTGTAGAGAGCGTCAAACAACTGCGTACTCCATGGGGAACTCTTGAGATCTTTAACCAAGTCCCCTGATTGGGAGAGAAGAATCAGAAAAAGAAAACAGAGACCCTTTAAGATACAGTCAAAATCTTCAAAGATCGCGAATAAACTATTCTTTAAAATCAAACAAATCTCGTGATTTAATTGATTTCTGCTGCAAATGAGCCGACTTTATATACCCAGAGAGATTGAAAACACCATTAAAAAACGGTGTCAAGAAGAAAATGAGATCAAAACATGCAAATCAAGAAATAGGATTTGAAGATTTGCAGCAGAGGGTTTTTGTATTATATATATGATGATTTGGTATTACACTCAATGGGGAAATTTAACAAAGTGGAATAATTTATAAAAAAAATTGCTAGCATTTTGTTTTTATTTGTAATAACAGACAGAGTGGCGTGATGATCTAATTGATGAAGTTTTCTTTGCATCTTTGGATTTCTACGGTAGATGAAATTGTTTTATTTGTGCAATGACAATCACCCGTATTTGTATTACTTTTGAGAGTATAAAATTATAGAGAATTTACGGTGCATGCACATGTGGCATTTTTTTACGATCGTTAACATAATGATTATGTGGCATACAAATATAGAAGATTAATGCATGATATCACTTACTCAATGAGCACCCTTACTCGGAGATTCATTCGAGCTCATGAGCGTCTTACCAACCGGCAACCACCCGAAACCCACTGGTGTAAGATCAATATTGATGGCACAAAGATAGCAACCACAGGAGAGACCGCTTGTGGAGGCATAGCTAGGAACCATACAGGAGAATGGTTATGGGGATTTGCTAAGAGGGTAGGCTTCTGCTTAACCCTAGAAGTGGAGCTATGAGGCATACTTGAGGCCCTTCGAATTGCCTAGAATACGATAGAAAAGTAAGTAATCGTAGACGTCGACAATAGCGAATCCATGAGAATGATTCAAGAGGACGAGAATGAGGGAAAATTCTAAGATTTGTTTTATATGTCAATTTAAATTGAGTTGGTGGGTAGAGGGTTAGCGTCGCTTATTAGCAAGTGTAACTTATGATACATTACATGATCTAAAAATTTGAGTGTCTCACATTTTTAAAAAGAATCTGTTAACCGGAAAAAAAATATTTTTCTTATTGAACACACAAGTGAAGAAAATTCGGTGAAGAAATATTAATTTCATATGTTTGAATTTTTTTTATTTTTGTAAAAAATAATCGTAATGGGATAAATTTTGATTTTTTAAAATATCTTCTTATATAAAATATTTTAGGGGCCTCATTTTTAAAGTAACACATGCCTTCATATCTTTTGGGATGCTCCTGTATAGGGCAAATATATTAAAATAATAATTATAACAGTAATGGTAAATATTTGATTGGGTCGGGTAATTTTTTTTTAAAGTTAATCAAATTGATGAGTTTTATTTTATTGTTCAAACGTTATTTGATTTTGTTTTAAAATACATTGAGTTTATGAAATTTGAGTCAAATCAAATCGATTTAAATTTCTATTCAAATTTAAGAAAATATAATATCCAAACAAATAATAAACCAACTCTAAGAAAAATATAATAACTAAATAAAATATAAGTAACTATAGAAATAGAATAACTATAAAATAAAAAAAAATATATTTATACAAAGATTAACTAGTATTATAACTTAGAAGAAAACATACTTGGAGATCTGAAAACACAGTAAAAACACTCAACAAATTCCGACTGATTTTTTTATTGGCCGAAACATCTTTCTCTTTAACCTATAATTTTTTCATCTCTTGATAATTAGTCATGCCACGTAGAATAAAAGTATATTCTGTCAAACACACTTTTAAAGATGTAATTAATATAGAGTATTTTCCTTTATGTAATATATCCTGTCAATAAAATATTATTTTAAAAATAAAGATTAATTTAAAAATAATTTTCATATAATGATAAAAAGCTAAGCTTTAACTTGATTCATAAGTTTAATTCAATGATTTTAATGATATCAACTAAAGTGATATTAAATCGACAATGACATTTTGATTTTTATATTTTATTTTATACTTGTTCTTGGTGTTAATCTTCTTTTCAATTTTGTTGGTGTTATATCTTCAGAGATATATCTTCAAAGACTCTCAACAGAGACAGACGTATGGTTTTATGTTAGAAGTAAATGAATTTATAAAATTTTAAAGACGAAAACATATTATTTATTAAATATATATATATATATAATATATAAAATATATGATAATTTAAAATTTTCATAGTATTGCTCCCTCCTACTATAAGTACTCTTCAATATTCTTTTAAATTAGCCATAATGTATAAATAATACTTTTAAACAAGACATGTGAGACAATCTACTGGTACAAAGTCCAAAGATCTAAGTACCAGATTTGTTAACATATCGGCTTATAAATAGCATCATCGTCCTATGCATGACATTATTAGTCATAGTCATTGTAAATATCCCTTTTTACATATACATAATCAGTAAAGTATGTTTTTTTTAACTAAATATCTCTTTTTGAGTTATAATAAATAATAATGATGAATGGGGCAGCACATGTCGTGGAAGTAATGTCTCTGGCGGTTGGAGAATGGATACGTTGCTGCTGCTGGCTCATGTATTCTCCACTATCACATAGTAATAATAATTACACAACATGAGCGTGTGCTTTTCAAGTTAAAATCACAACGGTTTAGCTAAATTAATCATACTTTAATACAAGTTGGGCACTATTAAAAGTAATGGTTCTTGTTGGGGAATTTTTTTGCGTGGACCTCAAGATTTTGGGATTGTTTTAGGGGTGTCTTATCTCTTATTAAAATGTCTCGAGTGTTCAGAATTCATATACAATGAAATTTAAATTTATGTCTTATATGAGCAGGTGTGAAAACACTTAAAATACTTATTTCAATAATTTTTTATTAGAAAATTATTTCTGGACCCTCGAAACAATATTTTATATAAACAAAATTTATATATTAAATTGATTTGAAAATAAATTTCATGATTCCTTTTTATAAATTCTAAATCTATATTTAGTTTTTAATTTCTATTACACTAATATTTTCTTTCTTCGTCATTTTTAAAGTCGTTTAGTAATTTCTATAGTAAAAAGTCACCAAATTAATAATCTTCATCTTCTTTCTTTTCTTTAGTTTCAAAATCATTGAAAAACTCCGAGACGATCTTTCTTCGTGCAATATTTGCTACATCTGTGTGGACAATGCTATTCGACTGCTCACGCAAAGGTGCCCTTCCGATAAAAGAGCGATCATTTGGTATGAACAATGTATGTTGAGATATTCGTACATCAATTTTTGAACATTGATGTTTAATATTGATTTCCTACAAAATTTGAACATTATGGTGTTATTGGGAACTGGGAAGTTCACATGGCTCAAAGCTTGCATATTTGATGGAGATGGGTATTTATCTATCAGATGATCAAGCCGACGAGATGCATCAGTTTAATTTAACTACCATAACGCTGCTAAAAAAAGTTGTCCGAGGAAAAAAAGCTCGGAGAAGGAGGTTTCGGTTTCGTTTACAAGGCCCAAAGCAGTTCTCTGATCTATTGTTTACGATAGGATTAAGGTTGAAAGCACTTTTGAAAACTGTTTTCAGGGGGGAATGCCCAATAGGAAGGAAATAGCAGTTGAAAGGCTTTCAATGAGATCAAGTCAAGGCCTTGAAGAGTCGAAGGATGAAGTAAAGCTAATTGTAAAGCTTCAACATATATAAAAATCTGGTGAGACTAATGGGATATTGCTTGGAAGGAGAAGAAAAGCTTCTCGTCTACGAGTTCATGGCTACCACCAGCTTCGACTTCCTTTTCGGTTTGCTCTTGTCCCTCGCACATCTGAGTCGGTGTTCTTGCTTTCCTATGTTCATGTTCGATTATGCGTCTGACTTGGTGCAGGTCCAGAACATTGAAAGGCAATGCTAGACTAGGAAAAACGCTCCAACATCATTACCGGAACTGCAAGGGGGCTGCAATATCTACACGAGGATTCTCGGCTTAAAATGATCCATAGGGACTTGAAGGCCACCAATGTTTTGTTAGATGATGATATGAACCCTAAGATATCAGACTTGGACACCAAAAGAAAATTTGGAGGCAATCAAAATCGAAGCCAACACAGATTGAATTATCGGCACATTGTAAGTACTCCATTCTGGTTCCTCAACCGAATCCGAACCAAAAGTTGTTTCCTATGCAGCGGATACACGGCACCAGAATATGAACTAAAAGGGTTGTTTTCAAACAAGGCTGATGTTTACAGCTTTGGTATCCTAATGCTAGAAATAATAAGTGGTAAAAGAAACAGGGGATTCTACCATTACCTGGACGGTGGCCAAATCCTTGTGGCATATGACATGTATGCATTCATTGTAACCCCTGAGACCGATGCGGATAACCCGATCCGATCTGAAGTGTCACATTAGGGCCACTGGAGCGACCCATTGTAAAAATAGCAGAAAATTTAAAACTTTTCTTAAAACATGTAACTTATAAAATGATTTATCAATATGCAGAAATAAAACAAATTTTCAGGCTCATATAAAACAAAACACAATTACATGCCCCCTAATTTCATGTACCATACTCTGCAAGCAACGTCGGAAGAACTCCTTTACTGAAGCCGATAGCTGCACTGGTACAATTCTTTTAACCTGCAATGGTGAGTAATAGAGTGAGCTTCGAAAAACACAGTAATACAGAACTACCAGATGATGCTGAAGAACGTGCAGATATAGATAAACATATTTTTTCTTATTGGTTCAGATATTTACAGATTTCTTTGGCTGAGCTGAGATTCCATTGATATTTCAAGTATTAACAGATAGTATTCAGTTCTGATGGAAAATATTTGGGATGTTTAGGTTCAGGAGATAAGAATAGGTTTTCTAGTGTGTTCCCAAAAACCATGTAACTTTTTAGATCTTTTTAAACATATATATATATATATAT